GAGAGGGGGGGGGGGAGACAGAGACAGAGACAGAGAGACAGACAGAGACAGAGACAGAGAGACAGAGAGACAGAGAGAGACAGACCGACAGACAGACAGAGACTGAGGGACATCACATATCTGCTGAGTTAAGCAAATAGTAAACAGCATCTCATTAACACCGAAACAACATGTTAAAATAACTAATTAATGAAAATGTAGCATCCCCCAATGACTTGAGGCATAAAATATTTTATCAATGATACCTAACATTTTTCAAGTATTCCAGTTCAATTTCAGACTCATGTCTTCATTTAAAGGCTAAACAACTCTAGTCCTTCACATAAATATTCAAAGAGTAATGATGGAAGACAAACTATACTATAATAACAAAGTCCTTGAAAAAATATAGCACTTTAAGAGAATTTGCACATTACTCTCTCATAAGAACCGTTAATTTACTGCGGAAAAAGTTTTACACTAAACTTGTATAAAAAATCATACCATGGCTGTGTTGTGTTAAACCTTAAAATATCAGTTAGTTCATGCTGTCAGAATAAATTATAACAGAAGAAATATATAATTAGGTTAACAGATACATGGGGAACTTAATTAAAATTTTAGACCTTGATAATTATTTTTAAAATAAGCTTAAGATAAAAATGAAAAGAGATTTTCTACACTTAAAAACTCAAGCAGCATAAATAACATTTGGAGATTCGAAGTTAATATCCAAAATAAGCCATATATAATTCTTGGAATTCATCATCAGGCTAAGAAAGTCACTAGTATAAAATTAACATTCCGTAATCAATTACCTTTCAGAAATCAATAATATATGACTAAAGAAAATTTCTGCGTATGTATGTGCATTAGGTGAGCTGTTGTATATATCTGTTCACATGTGTATGGACACACATTCTTGGCACTGTGCATGTACATGTCTGCACATATATGTGGAAAATAGATTGTCATTGCACGTCTTCTTCCATAGCTCCCCTTCTATTTTTTGAGGCATGATCTCTCATTGAACTCAATGGTCTCTTAATTGACTATTTTATCTCAACAGCAAGTGTTCCAGCAACCCTAATTCACTAACTGAGCATGGGAATGACAGGCACATGGCATTGATATCTGATTTAGTGATACTGCTTTGTCTATGAGCTTTCTTCCTAGCCCTAAAGTAACAACTTCAAAAACTATCTTTAGTAATTGAGTAATGGAATAAATACCTATAACAGGTAAACTACAACCACATGGATATCTAAAAGTCCTACAAATATTATTAATATTTCTAAATGAATGAAACCATCATTCTCAAGAGATAAAAATTTCATCCATTAAAGACAGTAAAAATTGCCTTATATTTGTGAGTACTGGAGTTAAGTATTCAGTTTACCTTGATGGATTTTGAACAGACTAGCTTATCTGTACTGATGGAAAATAATTCCTGCTTGTCTGAAGACTACTGACGTCCAGAAATGACACTGGATATTTATTTTAGCTATGTTTTGCATTTCTGTGCCATCAAATACCAAGGAGCAACACTAGATAATATGTGGATAGTCTGAATTTTACTAAAACTGCTATTCACATCATCTTTGAGACAGAGTGGAAAGAGAGAGAGGGAAGAGAGACAGCTGGTGGCAACTGTGTTGTTTCCAGCCATTAACATTCCAGAGCTGAGATGATAAATAAGCTATTTCAATATTTTTGAAACATATTTTTCATTGCTAATTTTAAAAATATTACCCTTTTGCCATATTGTGCTGTGGAATAGCTATATACTAAAAGAAAAGTTTAAACAAAAAGGTATTTAAGGATAGGGGATTCCAGAAACAGTAAAAATACAATGGTCTGCCATTCTTTCCATTCTGTGACTCAGGTGTAGAGGATGAGAGAAGACAGAGTACGTTAGAAAGGCTTCTACTGCTCTGAGGTTTGTCTTTCAGATTGTTGCTACTAATTGTATTTTAGAGTTTAATATTAACATATTGCAAGAAGTGATAGAGAAAGTCATAACCCTGTTTTATGGCAAGCAGGAAGACTAACATTTCAATATGAAAAGCATTTTTAATCCTTCACATCTAATTTCTTTAGAACAGGTGAGATTGGGGCCTGTGTATTAAGCAGAGTCCAATTAAATGAGCTCCATAGAAGGAGGCTCTCTTCTTAAATCAAGACTTTTTATTTGTTAATAAAAAAGCAAAGTAAAGGAGGACAGTCATTTTTCTTATGAATCAGAACTGAAATACAGTATACTAGTCTGGAATCATGGAAATGTGTTTGCTACTTAGATTTGACATCATTGGTGCTTCCTTGTTTAGTTAACACAACTCTCAACAGTAAGCCTACAGGAAGAGATTGGACAGCCATGACCCAGAAATGTGAAACTGAGTTGTAAATGTTCCCAGTTGTCTTTAATTAATGCACACACACCCCACCTCGAAGTCTCAAAATAAGTACAATGTCAAAATGTGCATCGGTGTTAAAAGTTTAAACACAGCTTTGTTTCTAGACATCTGAGGAAAAAATGTAGACACAGAAGCAAAGTTTTAAAATGTTACCAAGGTCATTTAGATATGCCTATAATGCACATATCTATCTTATACATTAATACAATATAATACATTAGGGTCCAGTGTGTGCCCATTCCCTGGGAGCCAAATGGATCCATCCCAATCCAAGGACTGTTCAGCTTTAGTTGGAGGAAACCAGGTGGGGTTATCCTTTTGTCCTTTCCTCCTTCCTTCATCTTCCATTGGAATATATATTGAAAAGAAACTAATACATGTTACTTTTCATAAAAATATTAAAAAACTCCAGATTAAGAAAGTCATAGAAATTGCTATAGTAAATCTGCCATATTAATCATCAGGTCAAAAAGAATATCAGTTTCTTCCATAAAATATAATTGACAATAACTAAATTAACTGTATTGAAATTAAACATAAGATCAAAATTACAAAATTTGTCTTGTACATTGTGCTGTACCTTTCTCCTCCAAACTTTTAAACTAATATTCTATACATACTTATTACATTCACCTACTAGTATATCAAATGTGCTGCTGCCTAGCAGTCACAGAATGTTCCACACCCTGCAACAGCTGTGGTAATTCGCTAGACCCTAACCATATGTGGATATTTACATTTTAATTTATTGAAATTAAATGCAATTTAAGAATCCAGCCCTTCGATGCCTTGCATTTCAAGTTCTCATTCTTCACATGTCGCTAGTGGTTACTGTATTAGACAGGCCAGATGTAGAGTCTTTCTGTTATGGTGGAAAGTTCTACTGGATAAGGCTATGAATAGAGAGTACTGGAAAGGATTTATGGGATAGGCAATCAAAACTTCGGGAAGTGTTAAAAATCCAAGAATTCTTTAGCCCTGGACAAAGAAAGAGGCCTGGTTTCATGATGCTCTTGGAATGAGAGAGAGGATATGGAGAGAAGCAGCCATCTGTTTTTCATATACTGCTTTGAAACACAAGGAACTAATTTAAAAATATAGTGGAGAGATTTAGGTTAAGCAGCAAAATGAAGGTCATGAAACAAGTGGAGTCTTCCATGAATCTTCCCTTCCAAGACTTTGTATTCAAGAGATATAGATGACCTGCTGACAGTGATATTTACCCTTGATATTTAAGTCAACCACGATGGCATCTCTCAAAAACTCAGATATAATAAGTTACATTAATCCATCAGTAAGTATTTACACACAAATACTAATGTGCTAAGTGCTTTAACAGGGAGCAGGTATTTAAATAATCTCACAACGTGATTTACCTAGTTCTTACTAGCTTTCAGTTTTATATTGTAATATGAAAGAAAGTAATGAATTTAAAGCTTTGAGTTTTATAATATTAAATAAAGTAATGAATATAAAAACAAAGTCATTTCATGTAACATACTAAGATAGTGATAAAGGGACTGACTATGAGTGTTTGATTATGGAATTTCAAGGAAGACACTTTGAATATGTTACAGATATGGTGGGATTTCCATAGCAGAAAGAAGCAGTCATAAGAAAACCAGGTAGCTTGGGGGTATTTAGGTCCAAAAGAAGAAATGACTACTACTAATCCTTCAACACACACATATTAAGAGAAATGCACAAGACAGTTTGTTGAGGAAACAATGACAGAGAGGAAAACGCACTTGAGATAAGTTACATAAATGAAGTGTTCAGCAAATATTCAGGTCTTCCAAGCCCAAGATCAGTGGGCCATCATTTGAGTTGCAACACAAAAGTCAAAGGAGAATGAGTAAGTCTATCCTGACTGTCCTCTGGGATGCAAAAATGTTAGGGGAAGCATGGGACAGGTAGCATTCAGGCAAGAATTATATGAGAGATTGTGCTTTTGTCAGTAGACATGTAACTAGTCATGTTTAATTTGCTTGGAGATTCATATGGTGAGTAGTATCCATGTTAGTGTTTTAGTAGGAACAAAGGCAAAATGATAGGTTATAATAGAAATTACTGATACAGTGAAGACTTGGTGGGAGGATGGTGTGATTTGGAAAGATGTCCCTGTTGAGCTTGAATACCTTTATCAAACATATTGCTCTCATTCTCATTTATTTAGAACACTACAAAAAGTCCTAAAAATATACATTTTCCAAGTGAACCCGAAAGAGTGCCCAAGATAATCCATCTGCTAGCCAACAAATTTAGTCTTATTCAAAGATTAAAATCTTTAAAACTGCAAATAAACTGTACCAATGAACTAAATTAGAAGACAACAATAATAAAAGATCTATATGTACCCACATATGTTTATGTTATGCACCTGGTTTGTAAGTAAACAAAAATTAAAAATATTTAACCAAAAGGTAGGAAAATACTTTCATTTAATGATAAGAAAAAATTACACACTGAAGATCAGTGGATGCAGCTAAATATATCTTTAAATGAACAAATGAATAATCATGAACAAACAAATAAATGAACTTTATGTATAGTTACATATTTATTTACAAAATATCTTTCATAAAATCTACAAAAATAGTACTAGAACTAAAAAGGAAAGTTTGGAAGGTACAATGCACACAAAACATATGTATATAACTTTCAAACTTATTTGTCTGTCAAAGACACTGATAAAAGGAAACATGGGCAGTGTCCTATGAAATGTAAGAATAGGAAAGAACTTTCCAAATAGTAGTTCTTTTGCTCATGAATAAAGGACAACAACTGGGACCTCATCAAACTCAGAAAGTTCTGTATAGTACGTGGGTGTGGGAAACTGCAAAGGAAGAGAACAAATGGGAGAAAAATCTTTGCCAGTTATACATCTGATAGAGACTTAATACCCAGAAATATACAAAGAATTTAAAAAACAAAGGGTCGTGGAAATAAACAACCCAATTAAGAAATATGATTTTTGGTTTGAACAGGGCTCTCAAAAGAAGGAATAAAAATGGTTAACAAATGTTTTTAAAATTGTTCAACATCCTTAGTTAGCAATTGAAGATATACTAGTTGAAACTACTGTGAGATTTCATCTTACCCTAGTCAGAGTGGCTAACATAATGAAAACAACTGACAGCAAATACTGATGAGGATGTGGGGAAAGAGGAAACCTTATTCAGTGTTGGTTGAATTGCCAACTGATGCACTACTATGGAAACCAGTGTGGAGAATTATCTAAAAGGTAAACACAGGCCTACCGTATGAACTATCTGTACTACTCCTTGGCTTATGTTCAAAGGTCTCCACTCAACATCTTAACAGCAAGATACATGCTCAGTAGCATTTCTTGCTACATTATTCACAACAGGCAACAAATGGAAACAACATAAATGTCTTTCAACTTATGTAAATGTACACATACACAATTTAATTTGTCTCAGTTGTAAATCAACTTGAGTTCATGAAATTTGCAGGTAAATGGATGGAAGAGGAAAATATTAGACTAAGAGATGTAATGAAGACCCAGAAAGACAAATGGCTTAGGGTTCTCCCTTATTTATGCATGTTATTTTATAATATTTAGGTATGAGTATGTAATCTTGAGTAAGTGAAGAACTAGTAAAATAAAAAAGAACCATGAGGCAGTTGACAAGAAAGAATATTAGGGATAGAATAGAACACAAGTGTTATAATAGGGAAATCTTGAGGGGGAGCCTTAACTGGAGAGTAGAAGGGATCAAAAATCAAAAGGAGGGCAAGGGGCAATGAGGAATAAATAGTAGGGAGGATGTTTGAAAAGTCATAGAGAGATATTTATGAAATATTTTATATAATGTTTATTTATTTACATATGTATATTCTCATGTTTATATGTATATAGATACATGATGTATAGATATGTAAATGATGCTTAAAAAGATGATAGATACATACAGATAGATTGATCATAGATACATAAATACATAGATTAAATGAAGTTACATCATTTGGAGTGACAGTATTTCCTGCAAGAACCACAGATGATCTAACAAAAACCCAAGTTCCAAGCAGCAGAAACATCCCTTTGAAATTTGGTCAGGGTAGTCCATGAGGTACAAAGAAACTACAGGCTATTGCTGCTCCCTTGGTTGACTACAAATTTGAAGATAAGGACCTATTGCTGAAGCCACACATGCTTTAGACATACGACTTGGAAGAATTCCACTGTAATTAATGTTGCACCCTTAAGGACCACCTCTCATAGTATATGAAGGTGCCATGAAAATTCTTAAGGAAAAAAAAAGCAATTAAGAATCCCACCCAAATGTAAATTGTATTAGTCCGACAATGGCCATCATGGCAAGATAACAAGAAAGGTATGATATGGGCACTTTTACCTTTGTAATAAACAACACCTGTTTAATTGTATTTAAAACCTTCCCAATAAGAGGGAACACATACTTGCAACCATGGACCTAGTCAACTATTAGCTTAGTCCATGGCTAGTGAGTATTTTCCAACTGCATTTTACATACCTATACCCTTATACCTACAGATAAGTAATGCTTATCCTCCTCAACAAATATGCTTTCTTTTTCCTTTTGCAGCAAAGGGACATTAGCACATAAATACAAAAACTGGCCAAAGTGAAGGGAATAACTATACATGGAGTACCTTAAGCCAACTGAAGCATTGACAACACCACATCTACACCTAAAACTCGGGGACTGTTACAGAAATGGAGGCAGAAATATTTCAAGAATGAAGGGACAAAACATCTCCTGGGAGATAGTGTCATCTATGTATGATAGGGAAGCTGCACCCATGAAATCTCAACAGCATAGTTCCTCAAATAAGCATGAAAAATAACACTATCCATTGATATGCCAGTTGGTATAAAATCTCATAAGGCTCCATTGATATATGAAGAGTTATAATGACAGGCTGAAGAAAGAGAGAAAATCAGGCTTCTTCAAATATGAGCACCTTGAAAGGGTATGCAATCCTAATTGGGTAGCCCTAAACATTCACACATAAAGAGTACTAAATGGACTCATCAGGTTTTATATGTCTGTGTGTGTGCACATATATTTAATATAAGTATATATGTATATATAATTTATATTCATTTATTCAGTCATCAAAGATTTGAGCACTAGTGATTCTGAGAGATGACTCAATGATTAAGAGCATTTACTGCTCTTGTAAAAGTCTAGGCTTTAGATCCCAGCAACTATACTGTGGTTTACTCCAGTTCTAGTGGCTCTTCTGGCCTCTGTGAAAACTGAAAATTGATACTTTACATGTACATGTACACATAAAAAATAAGCATTTAAAAATTTTATCATTGAGTATACGCATATTTACTTAGTGCCTCATACCAGGTGACGTGCTAAGTACTTATATAGTTGGAGGTTGGGGTATTCTGTTTTGTTATACAATAAAGTCACAATATATTAAAAACAATTCAGGTCAATAAACCATCAGACAATAAGACACAATTACTCTCTAGCTATAACAGGTACTATTTGCTGGAATAGGCATAGTTAATTTCATCTTCAGGGTTCCAGGAATGTTGTGGCTAATCCTTAGGTAGTCATGTACAAAAGCAGTCAAGACATCATTGCCAAATGAATCAGAGTGTGAAGAAACTGGAATTTAAAATTCAGTAGAACCTATTTTCTCAAATAAATATTGAAATAATTTGTTAAAGAAGAAACTCAATTTCTGCATTTTGTACAGAGATGAACAGCAAATTACACTGTAATTAAGTGACTTGTGTGTGTTGCCAGTTGTCCTAAATAATATAATATAGTCCTCCCAACAAATGCATCTTTATCCCTATTTCCAAAGAAAATCGAGACTTGTTGAAGCTGACTAGTTTCATCTTGCTTGCATGATGCTCCATTTACATATGTGTAATACCCTGTCCTTTCCTTTCCATCATTCAAAGAACCCATCCTGGAGAGAAAGCTGATGATAGGATGATTCCAACAACACCTTCTGGATCCTCCTTGCATGCTCAGCTCCAGTTAGGTTTCACACATATTATCCAATGGGATTCATACAATGACTCTTCTTCATGGCCTTCCTTTTTCTAAATAATTTCAGAAAGAATGTCATATTAGAGTCCCCTTGACACTTATTCAGCAGCAATTATAATTGGGTTTATTTCAAAAGCAAAAAGACATTGTACATATTGAAGAGCTTACTCAAGGAAACACTAAATGTGCCACATTCCCCCAAAATAATTTAGGATATACTGGATCGGGTTATTATCCAGAAAAATGTACATGAAGCTAGTGAAACAATAATCCATGTTTATTATTTGTTTTTGTTTCCAGCTTGTTAATAAAAAGAATAATAGGAAAGCTTGGTTGTAACAAGGACATGTATATTGAAACCCACCTGGGCCCTGCCTCCCGCTTGGGTCCCACTGCTGTCTCAGCCCCCAAATAACACACAGGATGCTATATTAATTACAAGCTGTTGGTCAATTGCTTTGTTTCTTACTGGATAGCTCTGACTTAAGTATTTAACTCATAATTGCTAATCTGAATATTTCCATGTCATCTTCACTTATTGGAGAACAGGGTCCAGATCTCGTACTCCTCTGGCTTCCTACATCGTGACTGTCTGTGCCTCTCTTTCCCAGAATCCTCCTCGACTCCTAGTCCCAACTATCTTTCTTTCCTATTGGCCAACAGTGCTTTATTCAACAACCAATAAGAGAGACAGATTTATAGAATGACATGTCCCATCAAAGTTTACATTCTCTTTTTTTATTAATTTTTTATTTAAATTAAAAACAATCTTAGTTTACATGCCAATTCCAGTCTGCTATCTCTCCAGTACTCCCATTCTGTGTCAGTTCAGGGGCTTAGGCAGTCTATAGGGCTGCTGGCAGGGGAACCAGTATTTATCTCGAGTGCATTAACAGGCTTTTGGAGCACATTCCCTATGGAGGGATACTCTCTCAGCCTAGATACAAAGGGGAGGGCCTTGTTCCTGCCCCAAGTAATGTGACAGACTTTGATGATCTCCCATGGGAGGCCTAACCCTCTCTGAGTGGTGGATAGGAATGGGTTGGAAAGTTTAAATTCTTATAATTCTTGCTCTCATTCATTAATTGATCCTTTCTCTGGGAAATCATTATTTTTAGTCTGCCAAGTTGTCAAGAGGTGCCAACTTTTATATTTGCAATCACAAACTGGGAGTGGAATTTCATCTTGCACTCTGGTAGAGAGCAGATAATTGTGGAAGTTTCCTCAAGGAGAAAATAAGGGACACCTGCTCTGTCTGCTTTGTCCAGAGCCTCTATAGAATATTTTTCCAATATATTGGCTTAATCTATTCAAAAGAAGAAAATAGACAAAGAGAAGCAAAACTTCAGTTCACATGACTATGATGTGATGCAGTCTAAAATACAATAAAGTGAATTAAAATGTAAATGTATCTGACGTCATCACAAAACACCCTTTTCAAAACCAGAGCAATATGATTATGTGTAAAGTTCTCAGCCTCTTCTGACAGAGCACTGCTAATGCTGAGTAATGAGGCTAGGCATTCATCTTTGGAGAAAGAACATCCTAAGAGAAAGCCAGACTCCTTGGCAGAGTCTAGGTTGGGGAGGTTGGGGGGAGAGCTGAAAGGAAGGTATCATATTCCTTTCTAAAGTAAGGAACCAACTGGTATACCTGTCCAATTCAGCTACATGAAGAACCTAAGGCAAACACTACTCAGTTTCCCCTTCTCAACGTGTTCCCTTCCAGCCTTTGCATAAGAGTTTCTGAGTTCCTATAGATCTGCTGCTTTGTCTTTGGTTACTCTTTAACTTCAGTCTTATTTCCCCTAATTATTTAGAGGAACTTCTGTTATTTTCCTCTTACATTTCTTTATCTTTAATGTATTTTCAAATAGCAGAAACGAAATAAAGGGCATAATTGTTTCACTGGTTTCTTAGGAATTTATAGGGAAAGAGAATACTGTCGCAATTTAGATGTACAGAACTGACTACAAAATTACTTGTTGGATCATAATTTACCTTCCAGATAACATCCATTATCATTTAACTTCATATTTGATTTTAATTTTGTTTCTTTTTGTATTTTCAGTATTATACTCTTTATTCTTAAAAATGTTCAGTATATTATTACAGTACATTCATGCTTATTGAGCACATGAAGCTTTTATCATTATAACCAAGAAAAACAGAAATTCATATATATATATACATATATATGACATTTATGTCTGGTAAACAGCTGTGGTGATTTGAAGGAGAATGATCATCATTTGCTAATATGTACACAAAGTTGGTTATCATTCGGTGAAAACATTTGACAAAGACTGTGAGTTGTGACCTTATTGAAAGAGATGTGTCATATGAGGGAAGGTTTTGAAGCCACAAAATCTTGGACCATTCTCAGTGTGCCCCTCCCTGCCTCCTACTTGGGATCAAGATGCGAGCTCTCAGCTGCCCAAGCCTACATGCTGGGTGCTTGTTTCCATGTTGCTCTGCCACCATAGTCTCTTAAATCTCTGCAACCTAAGGCCAATTCAGCTCTTAATAAGTTGCCTTGGTCGTAGTGTTTTGTCATAAGAATGGAAAAGTAACTAAGACAATACCTAAATAATGATTCTGTTCTGGAAAGTAAAGGCGCATAAAAAATCTTATTTTAGCATTCTAAGCCTTGAACTAAATAGTAATAATAGTAGAAAATTTTTCTTATGTATACCTGACATGGTTAGAGTTCCACAATTCATCTCTCACTGAGAAATTAGAATAACTTTACAATATTCCCTGTTCTAAACTTTAGATCTTCCACAGATGCCGAAGATAGTGTTCATATTTCTCAGCTAGATATGAACAACCTTCACCACTATGTGCTGTAGTATAAATTATCATAGGCATGTTAACATACGTTGCTCATTTTAGAAACGATTACATGGGCAGCCCTATATCCTCATTTTTCCAATGACTGAGCTAAGGCAGAAAGAGAATGAAGAGAAGATTATTTATATTGCTTCAGGGGAAAGTGAGATAAATCAGCAACAATTCAGATATTTTACTATAAATGTTTCATTAGCAGTGGAGAACAGAGGATAGGAATGATATAATAAACTACACTATACATTTATCCTACTGAAACATATAGCCAATACTGTCACTCCTTCACTCAAGAAGATTTAGAGTTTCTTCCATTCTGTTCTTTTTTTAAGAATGAAATTCCTGACAGTCTTTATAAAGAAATCTATGATGAAGGAAACATTTTGGACACCCTAAAGTGTCTCTGATATATTATAATTCAATGAGATTGGATGAGCATAGTGTGAAAAGAGTGAATCTAGAATCCAAACAACAGTCCTATCTCTCATTCACACTCTTTGACTTTTTATAACTGACTTTTATGGCATTTGAATTCAATTTTCTCCTTTACAAAATATAGAGATAATAACATAACCTTTTGAGCTATTTTGAGTACTGAAACTAGATGGATATAAAACTATTTGAGAAGCACAAGGATACATCTCACTATCATTACTGCTTTCAAAAATAATTTCTTTATTAAAGGAAGATCTCATGATGGATAGAAAGACTTCACAAACACATTTTTTTATAGAAGACACAGTTCTCAAAACATAAATGTCTATCTGAGCTCAAACGCATGGTGAAAAACTAGACAAAAATAGTTTGATTTTTACTGCCAGTTATGGAAGCTGTGTTGTGTTTGTGACACTGTTGTCACTGACTGAGAGGTCTCACCTGGGACTGAGGACAGACATTTCTAGTCACGACAGTGGGCTGACCTTTGCATGGGGTTGTCATTAAATTTATACACTCCTGAATTCAGTTTTTAGTGGGAGACACTCTATGCTTCGTTACATGTTCATCAAACATTCTTATGGTTAGCTTTGCATCTTTTTCAACCTTAAATTGTTTCCTCTGTTCTGTATTGTTTACCCAATTTCTGTTTTTCTTGAGACATGGTCTCACGTGTCCCAGGCTGACCTTATAATGGCTCTATAAACAAGATGGTCTTGAACTCTTGACTTTCTCACCTTCGCTTGCAAGTGTTGGAATTAAAGCACAGCCTTCAAGTATGCTTTAATCTTAAGTATTGTGAGTACATTGTTATAGAGAGAGCTACATTTCTCAAAACTGTTCTCTTTCTTATCAATGGATAGGATGACTCAATGGCTAAATGCTCTTGTGCCCAAGCGTGCTTACCTATGTTGAGCTACTGGAACTCAAGTGGTGAAGATAGTTAATTCCCAAAGTTATTCTCTGACATCCACATATATGCTATGGTAACACAGCTCCCCAACACAGATATACCAGCCCCTGCACACACACTAAAATAACATGTAAAAAAAAACAGGAATTGTGCAAATAACAGCCCAATTAGTCTTGCTATGTGTGTGTATATTCTAACTATTAATTGGAATTAGTTCTATGATTTAAGATTAGGGTTCATTTTATGATCATTCATGCAAACAACTTTATTAAACAGCAACTGGGTACACAGAAACATAGTATAAGAACTACATATAAAAAACAAATCATTTTCATAGGTGGGAAATTCACTGCACATAAAAATGTAATTATCCTTTTTAATGTTTAAAATTTTTATTTAGAATATAATTGCATAATTTCTCCTGCTTCCACCCTCCGCCCTCTCGCAGGTTTTTCTTTTCAATCTGGCAGACACTAACTCAGCCTTAAGAGAATTTATCCCTAAGCAGGAACAAAGATAATGCGGCTGCCTTCACCATGCTCCCACACAATAGTCAAGTGAGTGACTCCAGAGAGATGCTTTAGACCTGGGCTCCAGGCTTTGTGAGCTTATGTCAGAGGTCTGTCCGGGACCTCAGAGTCTGAAGATAAAAACAATTGTAGGTTGCTTGCATAATCTTTCCTGTTTCACTCTTTACCTGCTCATCTAAAAGAATTTTCTTCATGTGTCCTCTTCAGGACAACAGCATTTTAGAATATCAAACTTCAGCATAATTTATCCTTTTTGATTGTTTTCCAGAAAGTACCATGGTCTGAATGCATCCCACTGAAGCTCGAGAGTAACAGCTTTATGGATCTTTATTTCAGACAGTGTTTCTGTAGAGATAAAAGAAGGTAGTCATATACCAGGTTCCAACATGGTAATGGAGTTTTCATTATAGTAGAACAAAGGAAGTTATGAATCAAGACACTTAATTTACATTGTAGAAACAAGAGTCATTACAGCCAAGCAGGATAATCCCAATTACAATTCTCATGTTTTCTGATGGCACCTGTAGCTATTTGGTTGACAAAACGGGGGACTGCGTCACCTAGTAGTCATGAGGAGGTTACATTGCATACAGAAGTATGTAATACATGGCTATTTGGGAGCTCAACAGATCATGATAGTTTGGCTTTGCAATGAAAACATTCCAACTCTCTTCAATCATTAAAGCTCTAATAAGCCAGCCTTGTCAAATGTTTAATGTAGATGCAACATTTCCTGACCAAGGATCTTCAGTTAACAATTGGTAAAGGAGATCAGGACTTCAATGTTCATCTGTTGTTTTATCTTCAGTGCCATCTAGACATTAAGGTAAATAATTTTCAGGATTGTCATTCAAAGTCAGGAAGTGTCTCTAATGCCATTCTAAGCCCGCTATATTGCAATTATTCTCAGAAGGAAGTAGTTTTCAAGTAGAAGGCAAGCCCATTTCAGCATATTCACATGTGTGGGACAGACAAGCTTGGGTGGTCAGGAATTAGTGTCTACTTGCACATTCCATTTCTGCTACATGAATTCCTGCTTATTTGTGGATTGTAGTATTGCAAGGATCTGATGAAGTTGAAGCAAGGCAGTTTATTACTGTAAATTACATATTGGTGTTCTTGAAGCACAATAGAATGGCTTAATATGATTCAGTGTCAAGTTGTTCTGCATCAGATACTAAGGCAGCTCAGTAACTATCTGGGCAGCTTTCCACAAGCTTTGTCAAGTTTTGATAAATTGCACAATTGATTAGAGTTAAAGAAAGAAGATGCAGAAAAATGAAAGATTCATTTTGTTTTGTTTATTCTGAGGAATTTGCTGTAAATCTAAATTCGAGGTCATTTGATCAGAAATAATGATTCCTTCAGAGTGTCTGTGATTAAGTTAGATCATTTACATGGCTCCCTCTCTTGTCATTGTACTCTGAACTCTGCTAAGAAATTCCTTTGGGTCATGTCTCATGCCCTGAAGCACTTAACATTCCTAACCTGTCTTCTTAGAACTAGCTTTTCATTTCCTGTGCTGTGCAATTCACTGGATTTGACCTTTCTTCTTGAAAGAATGCACTTCAGGACAGAGCAAGAAGAATTATGGTGAACTGCCACCTTTTATACATAGTAAAGGGAACATTTTCAGAACACTGTGAGCAAGCATAAAATCAAATTACATGTATAGCTATGCTCCTAACACTGCTCTCTGCAAGCTTCCTAGCAGATATACTTACTGATCAGTTTGCCATGCAGCATGCACTGTTTATAACACTGCAAAGAAAGATAGCATTGCTTTGCATTCTCGTTCTTTAATCTATACCATCTGGCTATCTTCATTACCACTCAGAGCACAAGGGCAGTTGGACAGTTAAGGAAGTGATGATATTGGTAGGATATACTAACATGCAGTTCATTATTCAAGGAGACATGTAGATATTACATACATAGATTCAAAGGTCATTATTGAAATGAATACTTGTTAATATTTGGGCTCATTTGAAATATGCACTTCCTTGTTTTGGGAGGGGTGTTTTGTTTTGTTTTCTCAAGACAGGGATTTTCTGTATCTGACCTCAAATCCTTGTGGCCTTCATATGTAAAACTGGAGAAATGTTAGCTAAACTAGGGATGCAATCAGACAGCATCTGAAGCCTTTAGAAGAGATTTTCTTGCTTTGATCTAACCCAGTTATCATTCCCACCAATTAAAGAGGCTTGATCTTTGAATTGCTCTGGTTCTACAAAAAACTATTTTCACATTAGGCTCATTTGCTATTTCTGTGATAAAATACCCTGTCAAAAGCAAACTTGCTGTGTGTGGGGGGAGGGTGGGGTGTTATTTAAGGTCATAGTTCCAGATTGCAGTCTATCATTAGGAGAGAGTGAAGGTGCCAAGAACATGAAACAGCTATTCACATTTTTTCCATAATCAAGAGCAGGGAACAATGTATTAATTCATACATTGCTCACTCAGTTCATGTGCTCCATTTTTATACAGTCTAGGACCCAACTCCTGAGAAGAACGCTTTCAACTTTTAGGTTAGGTTTTCCTTTGTATATTAACATCGCCAAGGGAGTTACCAAAGACTAGCCCTCAGGTCAGCATATTCTAGACAGTTTTTCAATAATATTATCTTCCCAAGTAACTCTAGACTGTATCAAGTTGACAATTTAACTGTGGTGGTTTGACTAAGAAATGTCGCCACAGGCATGGGTACTTGAATACTTGGTTCCCAGTTGGTGGTGATACTTGGGGGATATTTAAGAGACATACCCCTGCTAGAAGAAGTAAATCAATGCAGAGGGTCCTTGAGAGTTTAAATCCTTGTGAATTTTCTAGCTATATATCTCTTGCTTTGTCTTTGTAGTAGATGTGAGCTCTTAGCTTCGTATTCTTGCTGCCATGCCAGCACTCACTGCCATGCTTCCTGCCATCATGCACCTATTCCTTATTTCTCTGGAACTGTAAGCTGATATAAACTCTTCTCCCACAGAATGCTTCTGGTTGTGGTGTTTTATCACAGTAATATTAAAGTAACTAATACATTAACTCATTATTAGGGACAGTGTAAATCTCTGCTTACAGACCATGGTGACTTATCTGCCTTGAAAATGAACTTTCAGTAATTATTGTTAAGGTGAGATCTGTGTTTTGTGTTGAAAGACAAAATACAGAATGTTGTAAAAGGACTTCATCTGGGCAGGCTGGAGAATATTAAGGTATTTTAGCTAAATCTTGAGGTAGAAAAGAAAATTGAAAAGGAGCAATGTATTGGGTGGTAAAACTTCCGTGATGTGGTATAGCTTAACTCAAGTAATAGGAGTTAATATTGAAATGTTAATACTTATAAATGTCACACAGGATGGTGTTCTGTTCACCTGTTCCCCACTCCTTAACTCCTCCAGACAGAGCTTTACATTCAAATCTTTTATAAGGAGTTGAAACTATTAAAATTAAATTGAGATTTCATACTGAGATATAAAAAGAAGTCAATGGCTTTAGCTATTTTTTTCAATTCCTGGAAAAATCAGCAATTAACTATTCAGTTTGTGAATTATGTTTTCCATCCTAGTAGTAAGATTAGATTGAACAAACCAAATGATTATGCAATAATCAGCTAATATTATGACCATTATTATGATACAAAGAGTTCAATTATTCAGTTAAATTTGGACATGTCACAAGACATCCGTGAAATTAAAATCTTTAGAAAAATAAAATGGCATGCAAAAATGTTTCACTTTAACAGATTAAATTAAATTTCAATGAAGAACATGTCAAGGAAATGGGAGTAATAAACTGTTATTGTCTGAAAATGTAGAAGTTATCTCATTGTATTTTCAACAGATGTCTATTTTAAGAATTAAATTCCTAAAAAAATGTTAGACTGCAATTTCTGTAAGTAGAACTCTTTTGAAATAAATTGTGGCAAAACTTTATGAGTGTCCTAAAATTAATTTATGTTTCTCTTTGGAGACAAAAGATTATTTATTACAAATGATCTCACAGGAGAAAAGTTCTGATAATTAGCTATTCTGTTAGAAGAGAGTCATTGCTTGGTGTATGGCCAGCCCACTATTGCCTATTCAGTATCAGCAATGATTGGTTCTACTAACTAAACAACTCATTCATCACTTCTTAACTTTGCTGTGTCAAGTGGCAGCTTTCCTGCACAAAAATCTAGAGGGCCATTACATGAAATTCCTCACAGTGGATCTCAAGTTATCACAGTAATTTTGGGAGGGATTGCAACTTTGGCTTTTATATAAAATAAATTTATATAATAAATCCGTACAGCCTTTTCCTAGAATATAATGAGAAAATTCATTATATCATTTCTATAAGTGATTTTATCAATGTTTGTTATTTTTATTCTACAGTAAAATTTTGGAAGCAACAAATTTGGATTTGAAGTAGGAAGTCAGTTTACTAATGACATGTATTCTTTTCTAAGTTCTCTAAGAAACTGGTGATAATCATTAACTCAAATACAATGCTGATATTCATGATTTGCTGCAAATAGTAATGATAATGTGAAAACAAAAATTGTTGCAAAATGGTGTACTTTAGAAATTGTCTTCTTTTAGAAAGTCAGATTTTTGTTTCTGTATTTGTAGTTTACTTTGTAAGGATGGATTTTTCAACATCAAATCATGTGCTTTTAATTCCAAATTTCTTATGAAGTCTATGAAATTTGGAACAAAGTTGTCCTGGAGGCTCCATTAACAAAAGAATGTCATTAATACTAAAGCCATACAAATTCCACCAATACATCATCAGATACTTTGTAAAGACTACCAAGAAAATGAGTTCTATTAATTGTGATATGATTTTATTCAGTTTAAATAAATCACATAGAAGTTTATATGCAGCATCTGATGCTCTTTATAGAACTAATGCAAACTCAATAATCAAAATTGAAGTTGACTTTAGAGATGGGAATGTCAGTACAGCCTTTGGCAGAACTTAGTGTGAGGATAAGAATTAGATGCAAATTGTTAACTGAAGTTCCCAGGGGTAAAATGTTTCCCTCAGACGTTTATGGAGTTGTCCACCCCTGCACATGCTTTAACATCATTGTGACTAGTAGGTAAACACTTTTGGAATATAAAGAGCCAACTGGTTTCTACCAGTACAAAAGCAAAGAATGTCACCAGAAGACATTCAAGGATATACCAAATTTCTCCCTGATTTACTTTAATGCATTTACCTGATATTCCCACTAATATATTTTATTGTCTTTATGACTTCCTTTTGTTTCCAGAACATCTTCACGAAGCTGCCACCAATATCTGAAGCAGTCCAAACCTGTATTCCAGGGTCAGCACAACCATATTTGCCTGGTGAGAGGTATG